CATCCCTTAACCTTTGTGGAACGGGGATTACCAGGATGCTGAAATAGCGTGCCTGTTATTTCAGAAAATATTTTGAAATAACAGGTGGCATGTGAAGACGTGGGATAGCTATTTTGGGATACCGGCCGTGCAGTATAGACGTAACCTAGGAGTTACAGGTCAGGAGTTACAATTGTCTTCTACTAGAACTGAAGTTTCTCATCTCTTCACACAGTCAAGCTCCACAGTTTATCCCTACTCAAATGACATTACCAGATGCACTGATAGCTAGTCATAAAGCTTCCAATTCTATCTGACAGTAATGTGACAAGATGTGACTTTTGCAAAAAGATTACAATAAGGTTAAAAATAGAATAAAATGTTGTTTAGTTCACGATTCATTTGTTATACACACATGACAATCATTCATAATTCTTGATAGATATAAATCTCTGCTTAACACATTAGTATAATAAATATTTCCAGATAAAACACTGCAGTTTAATACATATCAAATGTATTTCTAAAATATTACTCAATTTAAAACCTTGAATTTTAACCAGATGTGTTTCTAGAAAATGACTCAAGTCAGATACATTTCTTTTTCCAAACTGGGACATTACTACGCACAGTAATTTATTATACGAGACTCTATGACCCAAATCTACAACACTAACCAAATTTGTCATTCTTGGTTTTTATGTCCCTGTACATTTTACCTCGTCAGTCCAAAATAAAAAATGGGAATACCTACCCAATACAGGATTCTTTGACGTGTCTCTTTACAACTGCCTGGACAGGGAATCGACTGTCTGAGACAGCTGAAAGAGTGAAGATGAGGGTTCCAGACTCTTTCCGTTGAAAAAGAACAGGGTAACTTCTGGGGCTCAATGGGGAATAAGAGTTTGGAGAGGATCACTGGAGGGGAAGAGTTCTTTCTTTTCCCCCTCTCCAACATTAAACTTCCATTTTGGATCTGTCAGCCACATATACTGTTCCTTGAACTGCACAGTCTCTCTCCTTGGCTGCTGTCAGCCAGAGAGGAATGCAACATCCAGCCTATACATCAATGAGGACTTTGCATGTTCAAAATTTTGGCTGTGGCATAAGGGGTCAGTGAACCTCCTGAGTACTACCATGAGTCACCTATGCTTCTCAAATCAAGCTTAACTCTCTGCAACTGTGTAGTCTGGCTGCCTAACAGAGTTGCAGTGAGTTCTGCAGGCTGGGGAACGTCTACATTTGTGGAACTACCTATTCAATTCACCAGGTGAAGGCCTGACATTGTCATAAGTCCTATTCCTAGTACAGTCAACAATTTTAATGTCTGTATGTATGCAGCTGTTGATCATCACATATCCATAGCATAAAAACCTCCCTCACAATTAACATCCTTGTAAGCAGCAATCTCCACAGAAAAGCCAACATGTGAATGGAGATGGAGTATGAAATAAGTGTTTCTCCAGAACAGAACTAAAGCACATTGTGAATACTTTGTGGAAATTTGCTGTACTTTGTGCCATATAAACAGCAGACTTATTTTTCCAATACTATCAACCTAATACTTTTAATGAGTATTAACTTCCAATAGATCAAATATATTTTAAATAGGCTGTTTAATTATTAAAAAAATACATATATATGCATATATCTATTCCCTTTGTAGACCCACACCTAGCAATATTAGAAAGATAGCTAAAAAAGTGTATAGCTTTGAAAATACTAATCATGGGCCTGATCCTCCATTCCCAGAATGCTCACTGCTGACAATGGAATCTTTGACACCAAAATGGCTGCAAGTTAGTGATCTGTATATACATATATTTAGAACTGAATTTTCTCCTCTGCCCCAGCCACACATTAAAATGCTTAAAACAAATAAATCATGACATACACTTTGATTGTTTGTCTTACAAAAGTAGTATAATTTGAATTTTTTTGTAAGTTATGAGCCTGATTTTGTATGGATTGAAATCATCAGAAGTTCTGTTATTTTGGAGCAGATACAGGCCCAGTGGGGTTTTTTGAATATTTCAGACTAAAGAAATGAGAAAAATCTTAGTTGTGCAAAGAAGGAAAGTGTCTTTAAAATAATTTGCTTTGTAAACAGACCAACTTGGTACAATAGGCTATGGTTTAAAAAAATAACAAGGAAAAAATGTTTCCTTTCATAGGAAAAAGTTATTGCTTAGTGCAAAAAAGTTCTCATGTCTCTGCCTCCATGGCCATTCTGTCCATAGTTAAGGGTAGAATCTAAAGGTCTGCTCTTGCAGACATTGAGTAGTCCCACTGAGGTCAACATCACAGCTCATGTGCATAAAGACTCTATATATATCAGGCCCTGATCCTGCAGACTCTTGAGAAAGTGACTAAATGCCTGCCTGCCCTTATTTCACTAAAAATCCCTTTTAAAGACGCATTTTTAACAATCTGGTTACAGTGTATGCTATATACTGTTCTTCCTCTTACCCTATGCCCTATCTACTTGCCTGACTTTCGATTGTATGCTCCTTGAAACAGGGAGCATCTTCATTGACTATTTCAGAAGCATCTGCCACAAAGTGAGGATTGCTATAATTACATGCAATACATTATTTATATGTGTTATTACTTAAAAAATAAATATTACTCATGGGGCCGTTGAAGTCATGGGAACCTTTCAATTTGCTTCCATGGGACTACTTACATGACTTAAGCTACTGATATAGCTACATCTTTTCAGGATGGGTGCCAAACTCCTGAAGCTGTGTTTCAAAAATCACTTGCATTATTAAAACTGAAGTATTTTAAAAAAATTGAACTATTTCTCACTCTTGCTGTTTGTTTAGCTTTCCTATTTCTCTCATCTTGGATAATAAAAACACACTAGTCAGTTTCACCTTTATTTCTAGTCAGTTTTATTTTCAGACTGCCATGCATAGACATTGTGCAACCTTCCGATTGAAGGGGAATAAAAACATTCAAGCTGATTCTATTGCAACTGAAAACTGTAACAGGGAAATGAACAGAGCTAAGGTTTTATAATTGTTTTTTTGCAAACTAAATTTTGGATCAAATTGGACATAACGAATACGTTTATTTTTATAGCTGTTCCCTCATTTGTTTGCCTCTAATTGCAAACATGAAACAACACTTTGAAAACAAGAAAAAAAAAGCAAGCAAGCAGACCAAACCAAGCTGGAAACTATATATATATATATATACACAAGAGTTAATGTTTTCTGTATTTCAGCTTACAGAGTAAAAATATTTGTTTTGTATATGTTCTGGAAGATTTCTCAGTGAGGACTTCCTCTAGATTGTATCTTTAATACACAACTTTCTTTACTGCAAAAACCTGGATATTGTGGGTATTTATATAGGCTGCGTCCTTGTTGTGATACACCTATTTTTTTGCATTCCAGACGGCTGTTTTGAACTGGCTCCCCATACTGTAGCTTTGTTTAATACGCGTTTCCATCTCCTCCTTTTCCGTGTCCTGGATGCGAGGGGGTGTTTGCTAGATCGCCTCCTGCGCGGCTGCAAGTGTTTGCTGGGCTCTGGGGATCTCTCGGGGTGCTTTCCCCACTGTGCCCCCGGCTGGAGGCGGTGTCCGCGGCGCTGCGGGCTGTTCCAAGCGGGCTGCCTCCTGGCCTCGTCTCAAGCTCTGTGGCCCTGCGCACGGTGGCGGCTCTTCCTGCCTCGCCGCCCTGCCCCGCGCGGCGGCTGCAGCCGGAGGGG